CCCCCCCCCCCCACAAACTAAACCAAGACTATCAGTGTTTTAAAATAAACCGATACAGCTAACTAAATCTGTCTGTACAATATCAGGTACAAAAAAGAGGCAGTAAATTTGATTACATGCATAAACATGCAAACAAAACACAAGAGTAAACTCGGATTAAAAGTCTACTTAAACATACTAAGACTGAAAAACTAAACAGTTTAGGAGCTTTAAGAATATCAAGGATATCTTTGAAATTGTAAAATTTTTCATTACGCAGAAAGTGGGCACCTTCAAGAACATATCACTAAAAAATACACTTTATTACACTGAAGAGAGCAACCATTTCTTTCCATTTCAAGTTTTTGCTTCTTTTTGTGCACATCTGTAGTACTTTAAACTCAGATTACCATTTACTATTATCAATTTATTATATACTTAAGTAATTCAGAAGTGAAATAGAAGAAAAGTCTCCACAAAGGAGACTCGCTTCCTATTCTAGCAGTAAACCAAGTAACAGTTATACACTCACTCCTATCTTCTCTTCTATAAGTTGTCGTGCATAATCTATTTGCTGGGGTGTTCCACGGATAGTAAACATCTTCATGTTTGGATCTGCGTTAGGTGGAGGATTCCGTTGAAGTTCTATCCTAGCACCAGACTGCTGGCTTATACTTTTAATAGTTTCACCACCTACAATGCAACATACAGCTTTTATGACACGCAATAAAGCAAAAATACCAAGATTCAAATCAGAGAAAGTCAACTGCATGGAAGCTGAAGATAAAGAAGTGGAGAAATACCTATCCTTATGAGCCATACAAGAACATTCTAACAACAAGTAAAAAAAAGTCTCTTTGGCATAGTATAGAGCTTTGATTGTGATAAACTAGTAAAAATATTTTTTAAAGACCACAATGTCCACTCAGAACAGCAAAGAATTTCTACAACAGTCGTGTTTTTTTCCATTTATGTAAAGATGTAAGATTAGACATGAATAACAATAGATAACCACAGTTAACAGTAAATGCAGCCTTAAAGCATAACCTCCCTATGAAGCAGCAGGCAAGCACAGATGACAAAAACCACCACCCAGAAACTGACCAGATGGTAAAGTCCACATTTTTTTGCAGTACATTAAAACCAGAAAGTTAAACCCCCTAAACTACTTCCTCTTCTTATAGGATCCTGAGAAGTTACTTATATCGTTAGCAGGCACAAAGTTTTCAAAATATGGATCATTTGGCATTTAAAAAACCCAAACAAAATATATCAATCCAGGTTCAAGAACTGAACTATTTGTCAGCCTATTTGTTGTGTCTGAAAAACACATTACAAACAAAAGATTAAGGTGTTTCATTTAGAGGCATACAGTAAATTATTTGTAAAACAGAATTCTTTGAGAAGTAATTATTTTAATAAACACACACAGAAGAAATTGTTACAGGATTCCACTGTAAAAGATCTTTGCTGGAATACGTGAAAATTAGTTTTAAGGAGTGAGTTACAGATGCAGTAACACTAGGCTAACCAAGCAGTATCAAATGCAAGTTATTGATAAGATACATCCTCTAAGAATTTGCCAAACACTACCAATATAACTCAATGCTTATTACTTTAAAAAAAAATGGGTTCAATAAACTGATTGGTTCTTGACTCAAACTACTTGGGTATGTGTTTTGGTAAGGAAAATCTGAAAATATTAGGAGTGTTACGATTTAGCAGTATTATGGTGCTCTACCACACATGAAAGCATTTGCAAAGGCTTCCCCTGAAACAAGTCTCTAGTATGGCTATTTGTGCAAAAAAACCCTCTTAGCTTTTCTATAACTACATATAGACACACATATATATAAGATATATTGCCTTTGCCAATGATTAATCCAGTTTTGCCAGTGGGAACAATAAAATTGAATTCCTGTAATCCACCAGGAGGCCCCATGTTCCAGTTGCCTTGGCCTCTACCCCTTCCTCGACCACCAGGTCCTGGTCCACCAGGGTTACCAGCCTACAACGAAAAAGCAAAGAATTAGCATGTTCTACAGAGATTACTGCAAACAACTAATGCCACCTGGTTACATCACATAACTTGTTAAGAAAAAAAACCTGATTTACTACTCAAATAGTTTTGACAGTTTTAAGTATTATCTTTTCCAGAAGCCCTAAATTACATTTTAGAAGATGTTCTGTACAACTCTTCATATGAAAGATGAAGAAAGAAAGTATACATAAGAAAGTAGGAAGTTTCACATGCACAAAGATATAATTTCTGTCTGCCTTCTGTAAATGCAGTGGGGGGGCTCATCTAAAAATAAACATTTGAACCATCTTTTCAACACCCATTACAACACAAAATTACAATGTATCAGCTATTAATACAAGGCAACAGAAGCAGCATCTCAAACCAGCCAGATCAAGAATTGCCATGACTTTGAATCAGTATTATCATGATCATCCTTAAAACTTGCAAAACTCTTAACTGTAAAAGCAAAACCATTCATATTCCATACTGAACTTTGAAGTAGATTCAAATGGCAGCATTATTTTCTTTAGCTACACATTCATTTTTTAAAATCTTTCCAAAAAGGCAGGAGATTTTAAATGGTAAACAACATAGTACCCAACCTGAACACTTCGAAGAAGATCTGTAATAATTTCTGCAGCATGCTGACATCTGTCAGGAGGCCCTGTGATTTGGGCTATTCTATCTGGAGTTGTTCCATCATCTGGAATAAAAATGAACTATTCCAGTATATGTAATCCAGTACATTTACACTCAATTCACAGAAACGTATGGACATATCACCTACCTGGCTTAAATTGGATCCTAACACCTGCATCATTCTGTATCTTTTTTATCATCTCTCCATTTCTTCCAATTACAATACCTACAGCAAATCGTGGTATTGGAACCTTAAAGAGAAACAAAAATTTCAAGGTGTTGAGGACGCAAATATTCCTATCAAATTCACACAGTTAAAGGGTCACATATTAGAATGGTAAACTAGGGCCAGTCCTATGCCACTACAGGCTTTCTGAAGTGTGAATTTTTTAATATCAAGTCACAAGCCTAACAAGTACTGGATGAAAGTATCAAAAAGAAAGATATCCTACGCACTAGAAGTTCTCATAGTGGCAGCAATTTCAGTGGATATTATGCCTCTCAATTAAAGAACAAAAGTGTAACAGGCCTAAAATGTGGGTTGTAGCAGATGAAACTTCCAGCCTCACCTATAAACAGTTACAAGCTCATGACTTGCATAATAGGTGGACTTAAATATCCTTCTCCAAAGGCCAAACTCCAATTTCTATAATGACATTATATACTTAGCCATAAAACTTACTTGCTTATTTGATAAAAATTTCCAGCTAGCTGAAACTGTTCAGAACTGCTGGTAATGTAAAGTGAATGCTGCACACCATTTGAAGTCGTAATTTCAGCAACGAACAAGTAATACTTACAAGCCACAACCACTTTTGGAATCTGGTTACGAGCTTTCAGTGGTATAATCCATCTTAACAATTTAATGTGAACATCTCAAAATACAGTGAACAAGTTTTTCAACCATGCTTACGTCTATCCCTTCATTTCCTCCTATTCTTGACCCATATTCGTTGCGCACCTCTCTAAAGCCACCTTGATCACGAATTAACTCCAGCACCATTTCCTTGGCTTGCTAAAAGAAGAATACAAGTTCATTTAGATACTGCAATATCAGAACGGATCTAAAATTCCTCTCAATTATGAAGGAATCCTTACTTGAACTTTATAAGGATCTCCAGTTATCCTAAGGGGCTTGTCTGCACCAGTGTTCTGTGGACCATCTTGAATCATGACCATTTTGACACCTGCCCGCTCCTATTTGACAAAAGAGGAGGTCAATACCCACTCAAATCCAGATTCAGTATTACCACGTTTAAAAGATACACGTATACCTGTAATTGTTTAATTGTCTCTCCACCTTTTCCAATAACTAATCCCGCTTTACTTGCTGGAATCATAATTTCTTGGACTGCATTTCCAGGTCCATCACCATGATGAAAGCCAGGTGCAGGTCTTCCCTTTTCAACTATCTGATCAAGTAATCTTTTTGCTGATCTGTGAAGGAACATATACATTTCTAAGTAACTTATTCCTACAAGTATCATTTGCCCATATCTATTCGGCTTGGAAACTTTTTTTTTTAAATTTTAAAATCTTCTGCAGAGGAAATATAATTACTATCACTACGAAATATGAAGCAAACTCAGTAAAACGCTAACAGTAACTTAAGAAAATAAATGTAAGTAGATGGTTTTAGGTAGACCTAAACGTCAGAATAGAAGAAGTGGTTCTTTACCAAACACACATAAGTAAAAATTACCTCCTCAAACATGACAATCACCCCTGAATACAGTTACACTGATCAGACCTTAATTCAGAACAAAAGATGGAAACCTTGTCCTTTAAGATATCAAAACACAAAAAACCCCAAACTGTGTTCATTAGAAGTTTTGAAATTGTTACAATTTACCTCTTCTAATGCATTTATGAAAAAAAAATCACCAGAGAAAGCTTTTCTAACTTTGCTTAATTCCAGTAGTAATTCAGGTAACCTCTCATTTGACAGTAATTTTTTTTCAATCTACTAACAGCAAATCTTAAAGTCGATCTATTTTATGTTGTTTTATGAAAAGGCAAAAAATCCCAGACTGTAAAATAAACCTAGCTTAACACCATGGTATCTGCTGCGTGATTCAGCATGCCAAGTAAGGACATCTGTACTTCTAACCATTACTAGAATAGCAGACAAAATAAGTATGTATTCACCACACATCTAAGTCAGCTGCAGTCAGAGTAAAATCACGATTACAGTACTAACAGCAGTTAAAAACTCTTCCCTCTAATATGTAAGCAGAATAAACTATAATTAGAAAGAAAATTCCCATAAAGGAACAACTTCATGAACAGCAGCTTGCTTGGCTGCAACTTAAGAGGAGAATGCCACGCTACCTTCCCGAAGGAAAACATGTAGCTGCAGGCCTTACCTGCAAACATGAAGCGGAAGCAGCTAACATAAATGAGAGAACACCAAACATACTACTGCACTTAAGATGGGCTTTGCATAACTCCCACTCTTGTACAATACTGATTTTCACATTTTCCCTGTGATCTTCCTATATACGGTTACCAGTTTGCTCTCAGCATACATTTCTTTTTAGTATACATTCCCACACGTCATTCTCAAGCTGAAATCAGTGCATCATTAGAGAAGTATTATTTACAACAAGGTTTGGACTTGAAAAAGTTCAAGTTCCATATTTTTGTCTTGGAAAATTTCAAGTATGCTGAGGGATCTACATACATTTGTAACCAGAATACATCTTCAGTAGAGAAAAACCATAGTATTATAAACATACTATTTAGATATAATATTTAGATAAAAAAAGTGTATTGCACAGTTCTATATGAACACATGGAATTTGTTTTACTTACTGAACAGACTCTGGTGTTCCAGTTAGCATACATGATCTTTCAGGCAGGCCTCCACTATCTACGGTCATAAACCAAAACCAATTTAGCAGTAATGTTAAATCAGAGAGAGATTATGAAATTAAACATAATATGCAAATTACTGAAATTTCACGGAAGTAGAATAATGTGTATCACAACATTTTCCATTTCTTTAGACTGCGATAATTGCAATTAGCACAAAACATTAAAATAGACCTTAAATGAACGTTTGGGCAATTAGAAGCAGTGATTAGCCTTCTGAACTGTCTACCAAAAAAACCCCACCAAACTAAACAAACTAAAAAACCCCACAAAGAGTTACCTGGTGCAATCTGTATTTTACAGCCAGACTCTTGTTGTATGCGTGAGATCTGCTCTCCACCTCTACCAATTACTTCAAGAAAGAAAATACAGAAAGATTATTTGCATGAACAGAATATGCTAACATCCCTCACTCCCAACACCACATACATACTACTTACTGAATCCAACCATCCCATCTGGAACTTTGTACTCCTCTGTCATCACAGACCTACAGAGAATGTTAAATCAAACAAAAGACAATGACCATTCAGAGACAAAATTGGCATTAAATTCATTAGACATATCCTTCCACTAAACTAAAGAAAGCTAGTGCCCCCACTACCATGCTGGCTTACTTGCCTCCCAGTAACTTAAGAAGTCATTATGCAAGCTCAGTACTAAGTAAACTGACAATATACAAAAGCGACCACAAGTTCATGTATCATACGATTTAATGTTTTCCTTCATCCTCTTTACTACGAAGAGACACAGCCAGTGTAGTATTTTAAGTTTCACCTGTATATTGATCAAAGTATGCTAAAATACACAAATTTCAGCATCTCATCAACCAAAACCAGCCAAAGCATAATAGTTGGATGCGGTTGTTTAGGGAGGAAAAACGAGCAGAGAAAACGACTGTTGAGGCAAATACAGCTGAGTAATATGCTGTGTTAAATCTATTTTTAAAATTAAAATTATTCATTTTCTTTTTTGTTTACAGGACAGTGTCAACCTTTTCCCCTTCAGATCTGCTAACTTCTCGCTATGCTACCTACACTCAGGTAGTAAAAAAGAGCAATGTATTTTCCTTTTACTAAGCTTGATGAACAGCCTAGGCTGCAAAAACAAAGAGAGAGACAGCAATGGAGATGCATTTTAAGTGTTTGGCTTGGGACTTGCTGAAGCTAAATTTCAACACATCACACAAATACAAAACAATTGCTTTATGCATGGATAACACTTTTTCAGAAAAATTTATTGAAACTGCTTTCTGTCAGTAAAAAGGAAAACTCTACTGAAGATGCAATGTAACTCCTACCTTTGCTGTTGATGCATCGGTGGTAGCTGGTTTCCAAAAGCTATAAACAAATAGTTAAAATTAAATTCAAAACAAGTAGTATAATTTACAACTAAGCTTCTCCTTTGATAATAAAACTTAATTATATCCTTAATTTTTTCCAAGTTGAAGTTTAAAGTGTTATCAAGAGGTTTAAGAACAGTTAAAAAGACTCTCAACTGTTGCTAACAACATTGCTTAAAAAGCAGACACACAGTGCTTTAAGGAAGTAAAACATAACCCCCCAGCCATTCTTTTGATCTTACTGATTCAAATAGCACCTACCAGAACACTGTTTCAAATTCTTGTTCTGATAATGTTACACTTGTTTAGGGGTTTTTTGGCAACAAAATAAAAATTACTTACAGTCATTCTGAGGAGCAACTTTCTTAGCATCTGGTTGATCTGCAAAATTAAGATTTTTTTAATTTTTTTGCCAAGAAATTCAAGAAGTGTTTACACCTTTTAGTGTGAACTGTAACTTTCCAGTGTATTTTAGTCCCCCTTTTCCTTTTCTTTTTTTTTTTTCCTCCATTTTCAGGGAGTTGATCATCTGAATAAAAGAAAGAATCTCACGAACACTCAGCACTTGGTTAGTATAGTTGAAAAGATGTTAGGTTTTTCCATATATCTATTCAGTAGTTTAACAAAAGGCAGTTTTCAGAACACACCGTAGATTGCTCATAGATACCCAGTCACTGAAACTTAACTAAGACAAGGAACAAAGTTTAGCTCTGTTGGTTGCTCAAGCTAATGATGCTTCTATAGTAAAAAAAAAAGAAAAAAAAATCCATACAAAAATCAACAATAATTTAAAGAAAAAAAATTCTGACAATGACCACAAAACTAGATCAAACATCTGAAAATACAACAGTATCACATGGCAATGCAATCTCAATCTGAATGTTGGTATGAAATTCCTATCCAAATATCAAGCATTTCATAGCATAAAACTTCAAAAAAAAGCAGAGTCAAAGCAACTACATCACTACCATCCAAATCCTCTCTGTACAGTAAAGGAATAAAAGGCATAATTAACCTCTATCTGAAAAGATAAGACTTCAGATGCTTCCTTCCCACCCCAAAATAAAGGTTATACGAACCACCATAATTTATGTGCAGCAAAAACTCAAGACACATATTCCAAGAAATATTTGTGTCAATCCAGAAAGATCCACTAGTTTATGTCATGTTTACATACTAAACACAGGTAATAAATAAAAATTCCTGCCTTTAAAAGGAGAGGGCATTCCCTCCCAGTGTGTTGTACTGCTCGGACTTGTCCAAGAGCCATCTACACATAAAATAAAAAGAATACATTACATATATCATCTGAAGCATCATTAGCTCATTTTTGTATATTAAAAACCTCACCGTTAATAGAAAAAAAAAACTTTATTACAGGACACAAGAACTCCTGATATAAAGCCTTAGTTACATTCTGTAGACTGAGTTTCAATCCTCTTAAAGAAAAAAAAGGCATTGCTCTTTTGTGTGACCTATGAGAACATTTCAACAAGCTCAGAGACTTCTTTCCACAATTTAGCCAGGATTTTGTGCGTATATTAAACATATCAAACCCTGTTAAGTTCAAACTGGCTGCTTAGTAAGAGACAGAAGATGACACACACACATTTCAGGAGAAAACTTTACTGCAGTATAAGGCAAATCCAAAAAGCTGTAAGAAGTTAGATTTAAGTATGATCTTATCAGGGTTCACACATGCTACAGACTTAAATATCACACACACTAAGCAAAAGTGTCTACAAGGTAGAAAACTTACTTTCCTTTTTTTAAAGTCCTATGCTTTTACAATGAAATGCATTAATACTTTTATTTAAAACTGTGCAGTAATAAAGTATATGAAACAATCGAATTTAAGGAGTGAGCACTTCCCACCCTAATTGTAGTTTACAAACTGTAATCGGTCCTACTCAACAAGAGGCTTAAATGACATACCTGTGTAAGCGTTTCTGAACCACGAATTTATCTGCCCCCCTCCCCGGCATACATTTTCCTCTTCACAGCACTTAAACCACATTTAAAATATTTTAAAACAGGCTTACATTCAGCTCAGGTTAGAGGACAATGGTTTAAAACAATCACCTCATTAAACTGAAAATGAAAACGCATGTCATGATCTATAAAGGGAACAGAAAGTTTTTATGCTGTGCTATGGAAAACAAAAACAACCAACGAACAAAAAAACCACAATTTTTCTGTCACCGTGGGCATACATAACAAAAATAAATGCAACAGTAACGAGTGCATACCTCCATCCTCAAGAGGTCTTTTTTGTCCTCCGTAACCGTAGTCGTTTGAATTCATTGATGTGCCAGCATCTCCTCCAATTTTTGCTGCAATCTAAACAAAAGGCAAGTAAAGGTATGTAGAAATTCACAAAAATTGAGGCAGCCATCATTTACTCCAGGTCTTCCGAACCATTTTGAGCCATTTAGATCATACATATTAAAGTGACCTCAAATAAGTAGAGAAGGCTGCTGCTAGAAACAGCTCTGCTCGCAGAAATTCTATTTTTTAATGTCTTCAAGTAGACATGTGCTCATCCTTCAACAGCAAAACTTCCTATATTTTCTTCATCCGTTTAAAAAAACGCCCTGCCCTTCAAACACCAAAAAGTTTTTTTTCTAAAAAGGGCTTTTCCTATTCTACCGATTCTTCACGAAACACTGCGGTATCACACAGAGGGACTGACCGCTAAAACTATTTCAAACCTTAGTAGTCCCGACTACAAATATTGCTAAACCCGCGACTGATGATTACCAGACAAGGCGAAAAATTTGCCCGAGATATAATGAAAACATCGCCCGTGATAAAAAAGCTGAAAATAAAACTTTTGAATAACGAACTTCCGAGCAGACAGCCCTCACTCCGCAGGCCGCAGCGCTCAAACCCAACCGGTCTGAACAGGTTAGCGGGCACCGAAGGCGCCTCGGGGAACACAATACGGGCGGCGCGGCGGAGCC